TTCCATGCTCAGGCTGTTCTCCACATACACTTCGTACTTGCCGCTGTCTTTGGTCGTGGCCCGGCGGCTGGTCAGCGTCGTGGTGGTGCTGCTGATTACCGAAGAAAACTCTAGCGGGGAAGAGGGGGATGGCAGGACCTCGAATCAGTTTACGCGCGACCTGGGCAGGAGTAATTAGCCAGCTCTGTTCTTCGCCTCCCATTTTCCCGCCCCCGTCCCACTCCTGCGTTTCTGGGCCCTGTGCCGCCCAAGCTCTGGCTCCAGGCGCTATCCTTGCAGCAGGTCCCCACCCTCCCCTGGCGTCCTCCTCGATGTCTTCGCCGTCCTTGGTCCAGCCCACGTCCGGCGCAGGCTCGCCCAAGATCTCTGCAGTCAGCGTAACCGTGGTGACTTTGCATGCCTTTGTGTCATTCGGTCCCTTCTGAGTCTTCGCCGGGACTAGAGGAATGGAAAGGGAATGCGACCCATTGAGGCACCTAGAGATAAGATGAACAGGAGCATCACTCCCCGGCTAATAGCCGGCTCTAAATACAAAATGGATTTAGGCTGGCTGTGTGACGTTGGACAAGTCTTTAGCCTCTTTGGGGCTTCAGCTCCTCAACTGTCAAACAGGACTAATCCTGCCCCTCAAGTTGAATGGAGGAGCAAAAGAGATACTACAGGGTGAAAGCCCAAGAATATTCACACATCTCGCGGTGATTTGGAAATCGCCCTGGGCAGGGAGCCAGAAGACTAAAACTCTAAACCTGGCTCTGCCTCTGACTCGCTGTGACCCTGGGGCCCTGGGGTCTAGTGACTGAAGCCCATAGCGGACTTCTTAACCTGGATGGAACAGGATCCTAGGGTAGGAAAGGGCCACGGGCGGCCTACGCTGCACCCTGGTCTGTGTCTCGAGCTGTGCTGGGTCTGGGCCACATCCGCGTCCGAACTGGGTGAGGCCCGACGGTAAACGCGGCTGGACCCGGCTACGCGCCTGCTGGGTGGTGCTGTTCTGCGCGGTGGCACTGCACTCCGGGCGCGCGTACCTTCCACGAGGATGCGCGCCAAGTCGGAGCACTGGCCAAAGTGGTTGGTTACGTTAATGCTGTACTGCCCCAGGTCTGCCAGCACGCCATCGCTCACCACCAGTGCGACTACGTTCGGGTCTCTGAAGACATAGCGATACTTGGGCCCGTCGCGCAGCTCCTTGCCATCCTTGCTCCAGTGGATGAACGGGTCCGGGAAAGCCGAAGCGGTAAGTCAGCTTGGCCGCGCTGCCCTCAATCAGCACCACATCCTTCAGCGGCTCCAGCAAACGCGGCGGCCTCTTCCCGCGCAGTGCCTTCCGGGACCTAGCTGGAGGCGGGTTCAGGGCCCAGAGCTCCCATGACTCAGTTCTGACCCCTCGCAGTTCTATACATCCATACATGGTCCCCTGCCGATCCCCTCGGCCACTAGACCTTTAAACATGGGGGAGGGGCAGCCACTCCTAAATTGTTACCCTGATAAAAGTATCTACTCTGTGGGCCACCCTTTCACACCTCAGTAATTGCTCTTTCCTAAGTCCAGTGACCCTAGCGGTACATGACACTATGCTCGGCCCTCCTCCATCCCCTAAATGCAAGGATGAGCGTTCTGCAGCTCCAGTTCCCTTTCTCCGGAAGCGGGTTCTTCAGGCCTCCCCCTCACCTGTGGCCGCGGTAAGAGGCCTGATGCTAGTGGCCACGCTCTGGACCTGGGGGGTCGTTGATATCCACGGGACATCCCGGAGGCAGGGCTGCAGCCGCTGGTTTTTTGGCAGGAGCTGCTTTGGACATCTGGGGAGCAGAAAACAAAGAAGGGGGTCTAGGCTAACACAGGACTCTGACCTTCAGCCTTTTCCCTGCAGGTTCAGAACATCCCCTGAAATGGGTGTGTCTAGACTCACCGTGAAGGGACTTGGGTCGACTAACTGGGTAGCAGGTGGCACGGAGCCCTTCCAGATGGCACAGCAGGATCATGGACAGGTATTTAGCTCCAGGCCCAGGTTTTATACATCACTCCCCTCCTTGCCTTGTTTGATGTGGTTGCCCCAAGCCCCTGGGGACCCCAGCCCCTGCCCCCAACCCAAGCAGTCTCTTTATTTAGACTGAGGATGCCTGAGATGCTGGCTCAGCCACTGAGGCAAATCCCAGGGTGGGGGTAATCCAAGAAGCTCTGGGGTGTACCACGTGTCAGTGCCAGGACAGCTGGGCAGCTGAAAGTGGCCCCATCCCTTCCTAGAGCAAGCAGTATCCATCCTGCTGCCAGGAGGATCAGACAAGGCCTCAAGTCGACAAGAGATTCCTGCTGGGACAGTTTACACTGAGGTCAGTCCCTGGACACTGGGACAACATGCCCTTCCTGAGACACAGTTGGTTAAGGCGTGTGAGTGTTTGTGGAGGTGTCCTTGAATGAAGCCAGTGTAGCAATGGGCTTCACTGTCCATCCAGACTAATTATGAGAAGGCCATGTGGCAATCTGAAAGTGCCTTTATTCTCCCCCACCTCAGGAGTCAAAGGTTGTCATTTCCAGACTGTGCCTCCTGATGGTAAACTGAGAAAAACCTAGAGAGGACCTTAAAGATTTTTGAGAACAGCATCCCCTGCTGCCACCCCATTCCCACTCACTCCCCTTCATGTGACATGGTAGGGTCTGGCTGGGCCACACTGTCCCTGGAGATTGGCACTAACACTGACTCCAATACTCTAGATCTGCCCAAGCTCCCTCTCCAGGCATAAACTGGTGCATAGGGGCATCAGACCACCTGGGGTAAAGGGGTTAAGTTAACCCTTCTGGGACTCACCTGGAGTCCAGTCTGCCCAAGCTAGGGCACCAGGTAATACTTGCTTCCATTCACTGTAACTGCCCGCCAAGGTGCAGAGCGCTGTCACCTTTTGATCAGAGCAATTTTGACATGGCTCTGCTGACATAAATTACCTTTGCTCCTCCGGGTTTGGAACAAGCAGTTCACATGCCATTTCCAATGGAGATGAGAAGGAGGCTCAAGATCAGAGGTGGGACAGGAGAGGAATTTTGCCATTTATCAAGATATGAGTTCAGGCACCTCATTTTTATATGAAAACATTTGCAGTGTGTAGGGGATTAGAGATTCTCACAGGCAAACTGTATATCTTCATCGCTAAAATGGCAGGTGGGAAAGATGTCTCTCTGGTCCCTTCCAACTGGCTTTAATATCCTGTTATTTTTTGATGATGGGGCTTGCCTCTTCTCTGGGGCCTTGAGAAGCCAGAGAGGCTGGGCTGGGCTGGGCTGGGCAAGAGGTTGTTTGGGCTACAACCAAGCAGCCCTCAACCTTGATCAGCAATACACCAGCACCAGCTCCCTCTGCTCATGGGGTAAAGCTTTATTCCTTTTACTTTGCCAGGAACAGTTTTCAAGGTGGAGACGGGCAGGGGGAACAGTCCTTCTGGACACAAGAACTGACTCCCTTTCCCCACACCTCCAGGCAGGGCAGCTCAGTTTTAGGACCCAGTGACCATTCTGTGGCACTGCAGGAGGGCAGGTAGAGTCAAGGTCCCTTAGCACCCACTGCCCCCTCCCCGCTCCCGGCTTGCTATGGGAATTAGAAGGTCCAGACTGAGTGTCCCTGGGACCTAGGAAAACACTTGTCTACAGCTCCATCACAGCAGACACGCGGACCAGAGCACTCACAACTGCCCTGTGTTGCTGGTGCCCTGGGTGTCCTGATTGGTGCTCTAACACAGAACGTGGACACATGGGCCAATCCTGGTTTTCTTTACAGCTCTTCACACCACCTGCTCTTGCCTACTATCATGATGAAACTCCCTCTGCTCCAGGGCTTAGGACCAGAGCTGGCCTGCCTCCCAAGCAGAATGAAGAAGGCTGAGCCAGGATTGGGGTGTGGGCTGGTCCATTCCAGACCCCAGCATCCTCCCAGTTGTGATGATGGAACATGTGAGAAGAGGTGGGGGCCACCAGAGTCTGGTTAGAGGGTGATGGTGGGGATTCAGTGGTCCTGCCAGGATTCCAGAAACTTCAGAGGGAGAAACAGACCAGTGTCTCTCTTCCCTCTAGGAATGAAGGAGAGGTGAGGGACCAGGAGGATCGGGGACAGGGGAGGAAGGTCCCAAGGGGCTAGCTGGTATACCTTGGCTCTCACTGGCTCAGATAAGGCTGGAATGACCCTATCCCAACACTCCCTGTACCCCCAGCCACCCCTCCCCATAGACTACACACATAGGTCCTGCTGCTTGCCGTTTTTATTTTCCTTGTGACAGACAGACAGACAGCTGCACAGACAGCTGGATGGCTGGGGGGATGGTCAGGACAACATGGGCATTAGGGATTGGATGGTAGGGAGACTTCATAAAAGTCAATAAATAAATAAATATGAATGGGAAGAAGGGTGAAGGCCACAGAGGAGCGGTGGGGACATCTTTGGGCCAGTAGAGTGCCCAGACCTGCATCCACTGGGATAGGAGGAGAGTGCCACGTGAGTGACCACTACCTCCAGCCTCTAGCCCTCCATCCTTCTCCTTCTGGGGATGCTGGCAGCTGGCCCACCCCACCCTGGCCTGTGTCCTCTCTCCTCTCCCTCCCCCACCTTGCTGCCCTCTCTCACACAATGGCTATGGCTCCTTGGCCTGTCTCCTTGCCCTGTCCCTGCTTCACTGACACTCCCAGCCCATGGCCTGTTGACACCCTGGGCTCCTCCCTTCTCCTCTCCAGCAACTCACACCTTCCTGGGTTGGTTCTCCCCCAGATTCATTGTCTCCCTCCCCCAGAACCTTCCTCGAGTCTCCCCCTCCCTATCTCTCAGCTTCTCCTCATCACTCTCCCATTTCCCCTTCTTGCCCCTCTTCCTGCTCCTGACCCCACCCAGCCTGGCCAGTGGGTCTCTCGCTCTGGCTCTGGCCCGGTGGCATTGGCCACAGCCCAGAGTCTCTGTCCCCGCAGGTCCATGAGGTAATAGCCCGGCCGGATGTTGCTGCTGGTGGTGTCCGAAGCCCCGGGCCCACCCGGCTCAGCATGGGCCCTGGAATGTCCCGCAGCATCAGCGGGAACCCCGAGTCAAAGCCCGAGGCCCGGCTGTGGTCCGAGCCGCTAGGGGTTGCCTGGGTAGGAGCGCAGCAGCACCTTGTGACGGGTGGCAGCCTCAGCCCGGCGGCGCCGCTGCTCGCCCAGGAACTCCTTGAGCCGGTTGGTGGTGAAGGTGAGCGTCTGGCGGCGCAGCTTCATCAGGTAGGCGTCCTGCAGCCACGGATGGGCCAGACAGTCCTGCAGGGAGGGCCGGCTCCTGCCAGGCCAAGCCGGGGACCGTAAGCCAGGACAGATGGGCCCCAGACCAGGGCGGGGCCCCACCTGGGCGGGGCCCCACCCTCCCAGAGATGGGGGCTCCAATCCTGGATTCATCCCTGGTAAGTGATCTTGGGCAACTCTGGGGCTCAGTTTCCCAATCTCTGGAATGAGGACAGTGATTCTGCCTATGTCCAGGACTGTTATGGGCTTTAAATGGTAGTAGTACAACCACTTAGTAGTAGTGGTAATAGTAATAGTAATAGTAGTAGCAACAGCAGCCACAGTGTATTATTAGGCATGGGCTAGGCAGGGGCAGGTCATGCTGGGAGGTTGGCAGGTGTGGGACCCACTCACCAGGGATGTACTGAGAGGACCTTTCGCAAGAAGAGGGTGGCGCTCTGGGACGTGTTGGGGTACAGCTGGAAGGCATCAAATCGACCCCCCACAATGCGAGCCTCTGTTTCCTGGGGGTCTGTCTCGTAGAACGGGGAGCGTCCACTGAGCCTGCGGTGGAGACAGTTCAACTGACATATGCAAATTGAGGGTTACAGGGCCAGGGGGACATTAGTGTGGGGGTTCTTAGGGACACAGAGCTCAGAGACAAGGCTACTCGCACCTGGGCACTCGTGTGTGTGTGTGTGTGTGTGTGTGCACCAGTGTGCACATGCATGTGTGGCTAGGGAGGTGGGTGGGGGAGAGGGTGCAGGTAGAAGGTGGTCCCAAGGGCACTCACATGATGTACGTCAGCACACCTACTCCCCATATGTCCGTAGCAGAGCCGATGGGGTCTCCCTTCACCATCTCAGGAGCTGACAGGAGACAAGAGGCCAAATTGAACCAGCTTCCTGGTGGCAAGGGAGCAGGGAGGGGCAGAAGAGGTCCCTAGGGGCTTGAGGACCAGGATGCCCAGGTCACCAGACCATGGGTAGGACCAGAATAGCAATCCCTGGATGCCAGTGGGCAGAGTGGCCCCTGGGGAGACATAGGGCACTGAATGGTGCGAGGGGAGTTGGGGGTCACCAGAACTGCAGAGGAGCTGAGAACCAGGGTCACTAGGTCCCTCAGATCAGCTCCAAAGTAGGGTTCCCAAACAGCGTGGCTAACACTTGAGATTAAGACCCTTTGAAATCAGCTTGGCTGGCTCTAATCCCAGGCCTGCCCCTTCTAGCTCCAGGACCCTGGGCAATGTACTAGACCTGCCTGGCTCTCCATCCCCTCATCTGTAAAGTGTGGCTTGCAGAGTAACTCTAAGGAATGGAGATAATAAACAGAAAGTATTTAGCAGGTAGCTAAATGGTAGATGGTTTCCCTGATTTATAGAAATTAATAATTGACTCTCCTGTTTTTCCAGCTTTATCAAATACCTGGCTCTACCATTTATAACTGTCTGATGTTAGACAAATACTTAACCTCAATGCACCTCTGTTCCCTTATCTGTAAAATGGGGGTGATATGCCAGTTTCAAGGGTTACTGTAAAGAGAAATTTTTTTTAAATCCATGGAAAGGACTTAATTCAGTGCTTGCATATAAATGGCACGTGTGTGAGCGAAGTGGGGTAAGCCCTGGTTGCTGCCCCTTTGGCAGTGACCCAACCCCAACCCTGGCTGGCACGGTGCCCTCACCCATGAACTCCAGTGTGCCCGTGCGGTGGCCAAGGGGCCGCAGGGCCTGGGGGTTGTAGGGCTGGGCGCTGCCAAAGTCCACGATCTTGAGGGCGTTGTCAGGGGCCAGCAGCAGGTTGTCTGGCTTGATGTCCAGGTGCAGCACATGGCGGCCATGGAGGTAGTCCAGGCCTTGTAGCAGCTGCACCACATAGGTGGCCACGTCATCCTCTGAATACCGGAACCTGGAGAGGTGGGGGAGGGAACAGGTGATATCTGAGCCCAGCTCTCCCCACCCTCCCTCCCTGCTCCCCTAGAAGGCCCAGTACCTGTCACTGAGCCCACAGAGGAGTTCCCGGTTGCCGCAACTCTCAGCGATGAGCACGAGGTAGCGTGGGGTGATGTAGGCCTCGTGCAGCGACATGAGCCGCTCGTGGTGCAGCGTCCGCAGCACCTCATACTCCTGCAGGACCCGCCGCTTGCCCTCGGCCGCATAGGGGACGATCTTGGCCACGAACGTTCGCCCAGTGGCATTCTCCCGGCAGGCGCGCACTACTCCAAAGCGGCCCCTGGGTGTTGGGTGGAGATAGCACAGGCTCAGAGGAGAGAGGGAGACACCTCCATGGTGAGGGCTAAGCAAGGGGGAGCAGGTATCCCCTGGGGGCAAGAATGCAGTGTGGGGTCTGGAGTTCAATCCTAGGAACCTGGGTTTGAGTCCCAGCTCTGCCACTTACTGACTTAGTCCCTGAGGCAAATCCCATAACCTCTCCTCTCTAACCTCAGTTTTCCCATCTGTGAAATGGAATAATGCAGTGTCTCCCTCTCAGTTGTGAAAATTAAATGAGATCAAATAGCTAAGAGCTTAGCATGGTGCCTGGCACAAAGAAAATCTGAACTTAATGGTGCTAAGGACCCAGATCTCCGTGCTTCCTGCCTTTGCCCCACCCCTTCTCCCACTCCCCGACACCAGGCCCAGGCAGGCTGGTCTTCCCTCTGAATCCCTGTGTCGCCAAAGTTCCACCCACTCCCCACTTCTGTCCTCCTTCCCTTTCCCAGCCCTGGCCCCACTTGCCTGGCCTTCTCCTCCAGGAAGGTGTAGGGTTTCTGAGGGAGGCCCTGTCGCAGAGTGGTACCCTCTGGCCTGGAAGAGCTAGGAGGACCACCTCCAGGAGAGCTGACCACCTCCTTGGCTGGACTGAGGCTCTGCACAGTCACCTTGGTGGGCTCAGGAGGGGGCTCAGGGGCTGGGGGCTCGGGGGCTGGTGGTGCAGACACAAAGGAGGTCACCACATACAAGGGAGTTGAGGAAGATGTTGCTTTTACCCCTTGAGGGGTGGAGGCTGGGGTCGGGGTCCCAGTGTCAGGGACGGAAGACTTGGGCTCACTTGGAGAGACCTGGGCACTGGGTGGGGTAGGCTCTACTTGCTGGGCAGCCTGCAGACCCCTGTGCTTTCGTGGGGGGGTTTGGGGTGGTGGACCCATAGCCTTGAGTGAGGACAAGGCTTGGTTGGGGGGTGATGGGGAAGATGAGGGGCCAAGAGGGACTGATTGGGGGCCTGGGGGAGCAGGAGCTGGGGAGGGGCTCGGTGAAGGGGCCAGTGAGGTAGGAGAGTCAGGAGGCGGGGCCCTGGCTGGCCCTGAGGTAACAGGGGCATCTCGGTGAGCAGCAGATGGCAGAGCTGAGGAATCTGAGCGGAGATAGAGAAAATCATCACCATGGTGCTCTGGGGGCAAAACTAGGTGCTCTGAGGAGGGGGTGTGCCCTGGGCTCAGTGTTCTCTGCCCTCTTTGTCCACCACCCTACCCTGTCCCACTGACCTGGCATGCCCCTAACGAGGACCTTCTCGGAAGGGTTGCTGAAAGGCCCTTGCCCAGCACGGTTGGCACAGGCCACACGGAACCTCACAGTCATGCCGACTGGTAGGTGGGTCACATTGTAGTAACAGTCAGGGATGCCCGAGCTCACGGGGTGCCAGGAAGACTCCCCTGTAGGCAGCATGGAGGAGGAGCTGAGGCCACAAGAAGAGTGGCCCAAGCTCCCAGTGCTGTGAGGTCTCCCCGGCTTCTCCACCCTCCACCTGCCTCTGCTCCCCCCACCAGCCTGCTGGCCCCTCACCATCCACCCGCCGCTCCAGCGTGTACGTGCATGGTGCCCTACTGTCTCCTGGCTTCCAGAGCACCAGTGCCGTGTCTTGGTAGGTCTGGGGCACCTCGGGAGGAGCTAGCTTTCCTGGGACACCTGGCAAGAGATGCAAAGCCCTAGTGAAACCCTGGGCCCCAGCTCAGGGCCCATCAAGCCCTGCCCCACTGTTCCCCATCACTGCCCGCCTTGGTCCCTGCCCCAGGCTCACGGGCCACAGAGATGGTACAGGAGCTGGTGATGCTGCCTAGGACATTGGTGGCTGAGCACTCATAGAGCCCAGCATGCCGCTTGCTGGCCCGGGGGATGCTCAGCAGCTGCCGGCCGTCTTTGCAGGACACGATGATCACTGAGGGCTCTGACCGCAGGGACTGCTTGTCTAGGAGCAAAGGAGGAACAGGAGGGGCTGCTGAGTGAGGGAGAACACACGTCCTCCAGGCCCCCTTGGTTGCTACTTCCCACTGAACATCCCCGGGCCTTGGGGCCAAACTTGTCTACCCATCTCTCTTGGGGAGAAATGGCCTTACCTTTCATCCACGAGATGTGGGGTGCAGGGCAGGCCGCTGGCAGGCAGAGCAGGGTGGCTGCCTCTCCCTCCAGCAGCACCTGGTCCTTGAGTTTGATGTGAAAGACTGGGGGAAAGTCTGGAGGGAGAGCAAAGACAGCCATAGGTCTGCGGGATCCTGGCTCACTCCCCACTGAGGGAGGGGAGGATGTGTATGCGCGTGAGGGGCGAGCTGGTGCTGCCTGCAGGGGGCCGAGTGAAAGGCCATCTCTTCCCAGATGTGGGGATTTTGAGAATTTTCTTTGGGGTGAGCACTTTCGCCAGGCACTCACTGTGTGCAGAACTATCTTTTTCTTTCACTGATTATTGAAGATGCTTGGTGGCTACCTTGTATGTTTATAAATCACTTCGAGCAGGGCTTGGCACTAAGTAAGTGCTCTATAAGCATTTGTTAAATAAAATAAAAACAAATATTGAAAAACTACAATGGTTAAGCTCCTGCAATCCCCATTCCTTCTGGGGCACCATGGGGCAAGTGACAGGAGTGGGCGACCTGAGCTGAGACGCTCGGGAATGAACATATGTTCAATCACAAGTGCAATCTCAAAAGATCTGAAGTCGAGGCAAACCTGGGGCAGACCCCCAACGTGTGTCAGCCTCTCCCACCCCTCTTCCCCACTGGGGGCCAGGGAGCTGGTCTCAGACCCTCTACATACTCCTTCACGTCAGCTAAGTAGTGAGAGTTTTTGAAGGGACAAGAGACAATATCTGCATGACCTTGGACCACGTCTGTAAACTGAGGAAAATAACACCAAGCTCACAGGGCTGTGGTGAGAATTCAAAGAGGCCCACAAAGCACTTAGCAGGTGCCTAACATATAATAAGCACTCAAAGATGTTAGCTTGTATTGTGATGATTATCTCGTTAGTATGCCCAGTAGAGAAGCTGGGCACAAACCCCCAGAGAAAGAGGCGGTTTCAGCAAAGCTGGTTTCACAGCTGTCCGGTGAATGAGCCCACAGCAGGGCTGTGGATGGCCAACGTCTTTGTTCCAGGTCTTTGCTGGCCTGTGGCTCCTAAATGCCATGAAGATTTGCATTCCTGTCCCCTGAGAGTGTCTCTAGAAAAATCCCAGTCTGGTCCAGGGATAGTGGTGGTGGTGGTGGTGATGGTAGATTTTTTTTTCACATGGGCAGAAAGAGCTGAGAGGCAGATACCTCTGAAGAACCAGGAGGGAGTGGGGTGGGAATGAGCTGGGCAGGATGATCAGGACAGCAGTGTGTCCCCTTTCCCACTTTACCCCAGTGTTCCCCAGGGAGGGGTCCCACACTGAGGCTCCAGCAACATAAAGTGAATATAGTTTCGTCAATGGCTGCCTTCAGACCAAGTGAGGGTACTGGGTAGGGGGAGAGAGAGGGAGCCGAGGAGGAGAGGTGAAAGGTGACCCTGGCCCAGCTCTGCCAGTCCCACCCCCACCCTCAGGGGGCCCTAGCTGGTAAAATGGACCTGGGACAGCCTTCTTCCTGCAAGGAGGGGGCGATAGGATGAAGTAAAGGGACACTGCCTCGGCAAGAAATCAGCTGCACAAGCAAAATGGAGCTGGAGGGGAGGCCCCAGGTGGGAAGGGATCAGCTGTCCCCAGGCCTCAGGGCTGGCTTTGCTCTCTCTCTTCCCACTCCTTCTCTACCCCTGCCCCCACCAGCTGGCCTCCCTCCCTTCTCTTCTCTCACTACACCCTCCACCACCAACTTCCTCAGGTGAGATGCCCCAGCTTCCCCTTCCCTGGTCAAGATGGGACACAGTCATCTCAAGCCCGGCTGAGGCATGTCTGGGGCAGTTCTGAGGAGTTTTATCAGGAAACTGGAGGAGAACATTGGTAACCAATAAAGATTCTGCATGCAGGCCAGTTTGGTGGGCCTGCTTCTTTCTGCAGGCTTATCTGGAAACCGTGGCCTCCTGAAGCCTTTGCTTGTCATCCTTGAGTAACACCCCCCTTTCAGGTGGGGGACTGGGGTGACCCAGGTAGAGAATACCTCCCTCCCTGCAGCCCCAGCACATGTGGGCAGAGAAACAGACCAGGGTATATCCCAAGTGCTCCTCCCCCCAGCAAAGAGTCCTGAAGGCTGCTTATCTGTGCAAAGTGCCTTCTGTAGGGGCAGAGGGGACAGGAAGGGGCACTTGTGTGTTCAGGGCGACAGAGAAATGGAGGATTGGAAGCACAATCCAGATTGTGGGCCTCTAGGTGGGAGAGAAAGGGTATCTTTGGGAGCACGTTCATGCATACACACATCTGCAGGGGGCCTCGTCCTGACCTCCTTCAGAACTACACCCAGTGACAGAGACCTAGGGAGGAGACTAGCCAAAGAAAGGCATTAGCACAGTGTCCTGAAGCCACTGCTGGGATCTGGCTGCAGAGGGTCATACAGCCCAACACTCTGGCTGCTCCTCTAACTACCAGCTCTGTGACTTGGGCAAGCATGGCTAAGCCTCTGTCCCCTCACCTGTAAAACAGGGAGATGGTAAGAATCATTCCTAAACAATGTGGGAAGATTGAGGCAATGCTTGTGAAGTGCTTAATAGGACACTTGGCATTGCTAATTAATGGCAGCTGCTATTATTATTGTTATTGTTTCCCTGACTCCAAACCCCTTCCACTACTGCCAAGGCTCCCCAAGGTGGGCCATCTCCCCAACCAGCAATGACCATCCCCTGGGGCGGGAAGGGGCTTACTCACCCAGCAGGCCTCTATTACCTGACTCACTGCGCACATACTGGTGACCCAAATCCTCCTGGATGCTGGCAGAGAGGTTTGGCTGGGACAAACCCTTGTCCTTCCGAAGCCTAGAGAGGCCCCAACGCAGTCGGCTTCGTCTTTCCCCGGGAGCTGGGAAGACCCAGGCCCATGAGCACCTGCCAGCCAGTACCAGAAAGCTCCCGCCTCCCGGCAGCTCCACACTCCCCCCTACCCCGCGCCCAGAGAACTAGAGAACTTGTAGCCCCCACCCTGGTCTGCTCCACCAGCCTCTGCCCTTCAGCCTCCCGCTGCTCCAGCCCTGCCAGTTCCATCCTCAGGGCCTCCAGAAAGCCTTCCGCCTCTTCGCGGTCGGTGTCCCCGGCCCTCTCCTCGTCCTAGGGCGTCTCTCCAGCCTACCTATCATCCCAGTCCCACACGCCATCCCCACCCGAGTTGTTCGCACATTCAGACTCCACTCTGTCCCGGCCCCTTCTCACCTGAGGAGCCCGATGTACCGCTGGCCTCGGAGCCCAGGGACTCCGCGGAAGGTGCGGTGGCGCCGGCCTGGGCGGCCAGCTGGTTGTGCGCGAGGCCAAGGCGCCTCAGACTCTCGCCCTCGGACGTGGCCCTGCGCAGCCGTCCGAATAGCGGCGTGCTGCGGCCCGACCTGAGACTGCCAAGG